TTTTTATAAAATAACTTAAATACTGTATATTGCAATTTTTAGCTAAACATTAACTTTCATTTTTAATGTAAGATTGTGTCTAAATATATGTCAAATTCAACACCTTTTATACGTTTATGTATTTAAAAAACAAAAGACAAAAATGATGAACATTTTAAATGTTAACACAAGAATAATACAGTGTTTGTATGCCTTGTGATAAACTATTGAGTTATAAAAAGTGTTGCCAAATGACTAAAAGAGAGGAACAAACACGAAATTAAGACCATTTGGCAAATCTCTAACAATCTGTTAGTGCTATTCACATGTGATGTAACAATTGAGTCAAACATTGGGCTTATTTTTGCGATTCTGTAATTACATGAGAGCCTAAATGAAATCCATGTAAAGACATAGAAATAAATTGAATACAAAAGGACACAATATTGTACTCATTTTATGACTATAACCTTATTTGATGGCAACGTAATTATATTATAAGTTATTTACGGCTAAAAAACATTTGTGTTTTGTTTGTGACTTTGTTTCTCACAAATTAGTGAAAACAAATTAATGAACAATCGATTCACTCAATAAAGTCGATCACATTTTGACAAAAAAATACTAAATGGGATAAGAATTTTATTTATATAAAGACAAACATAAATCGCGTACAACTCTATAGTCTATAGTTATTTAACACTGGAATCGATATATGAAATTGGGGTTCAGTTGTGATCTTATTAGTGAACAGATCCTAAAGATTAACAAAGAGTACAATTTTGAGCCAATCTATTGTTAGTGACAGGAATCACAGGAAAGTCAAATTATTTGGTCGACAGACAAATAATTGTCTTCTATTTCCACTCAAAGGCTGTTATAATGTTTTTCATTCATTTAATTAAATGTTGGCTCAAAATGAAAGGAAATGTGGGAAATATCTTTAAACAACAAAATAACTATTAAATTTCTATACAGTACTATATTATATAATTTGCCTTTTCAATAGATATGTCATTAATGCCTTAAAATTGTTTTTGATTAACGTTTATATTAATAAAACAAAAATAAATTTCCATAAATAAAAGCAAAAAGACAACTAAATTATAGTCTGAATGAATGGATAACTTATTCACGTATTAGTGTGTTATTCAGTGAATAACATACAGAATATTCAGTATTTATATATAATTTTCTACAGAGAACTCATTCTATGTTTATCTTAATGTCAATAGAAAAGTGAATTTTTCTCGTTTTCCCTACAAATGACTTAAATTTTGTAACGAGTTTTGAAAATAAGACATTAATGTCATACAAACTATTTTCGATACAAAACTATATTTACACAATTTTTTCAAAAAAGTAAATAATTTAATGCAAAAATGTTTTCAAATTCTGTATAAATAATGAGAAGTGATGGTAATGGGAAACCAACGATACATACCATCATCGCTTTGATAGATATAGATAATGGTCTTCCACTCATAAAACTTGATTACATCAACGATTGCCGGCAAATATCTGGGTCTCATTGAAATGCCATAGTTTGCATGATTCACATCAAAGGTACGGCTGAAACCCAAGTGAACGAAAGGCATCTAAACCGAGATATTTGCAAACATTGTCATTAATTTAATGTCATTTGTAAACAAGGTATACCTGAAACATGTTTGAATACGATACTAATGTCTCGTAGGCGTGACCGATGATCGGCGAGACCAGTGTATAGACACCTCGGCTTAATTGAAGGCATACTTCAATAAACATAGATTACAGTCAATTGGAAAAATTTGTGTTAATTTAAATGACATGACTCGTATATTATATGTTTTCAATTAAAATCAAAATCCAACATTATAAAATAGTTTAATTTTGGCATAAAATCCTTATTTCGCTTATCCTGTCACACATTTTACATTCATTAAAAATATATTATAAAATATATACAGTTTATAAATAAAGTGTTGATTTCGAAAAGCAATTCAATTCAACAAATCTTAATAAAGTTTGAAAAGTGAGTTAAGCCTCAAGTGTTATAAAACTTTTAATTTTGTGAACTGAAGTTCCGTTTAATTTATAGTTCACAATATATTGAACTGAAATCCACTTTACTGTACAATACATTCATTCATCCTTTCGATCGATAAATAAAAAACTCGACTTTTGAGAAAATATTGATTACTTTTGAAGAGAATAATTAAAACACTGTTTAAACAATTCAATAGATGTATAACACTATTAAATATTTAGCATATGGTAATCATGTATTGTTATACATAAATATACTAATAATTATTATTAACGTGTCATTAATTTGGAGACAATATTATATAATAATATTCTATAGAAGTGTTCATATTTTGTGCAGTATTTGCACATAAATATAATAAATGTATTGAAGAACATATATTTCATATTAATATAAATGCATAACTGATGGGAAAAGGGTGTGAAAAATGATGAGTTCAATAAATTAAGTTATTTGCGAAAAGTTAAGTCAATTTAGAGATATAGCAAAAATTTGTGTATTTGTTGTACAAGTAATGCATGGATTGAATGGCAAGAAAAAGGCCCCCAAAGGGTAGAAAGAGATATGAAAAGATTGGTTATGGAAGTAGTGGCACAAGAATGTGATTAACTGTATTTGACAGGACTTGCCTTCTGATGGATGAACAATCATACCGTTGTATAATATAGTCCTCATTCTCTCACTAACTGAGAGGCATATATTGGTTAGACATAAGCGGACGCCGAGACGGCCCTAAAGCACACTTCAACGCATACATTAGTGTTTTGCACAAAACAATGCATTCATTTTTTAAAGTGAATTATTCTGTACTCAACTTTTTCTGCTCTCTCTCTCTCTCTCTCTCTCTCTCTCTCTCCCTCTCTTTTGATCGATTTAGTCAAACAATAACAACACAAATCGCTATTTATTTTAAATAATATTTTGTTCACAATTGCGTTCATAATATGACATCCCTATGACATACCGATATGTTTTATGAAACTGAAACTCTTTTCATAATCAAAATTAATGTTTGCTCTCTCTTTTTGCTCTCTATCTCTCTCTCTCTCTCTCTCTCTCTCTCTCTCCGCTATAATTCTTGACAAAAATATTATTTAAAATAAATAGCGATTTGTGTTGTTATGGTTTGACTAAATCGATCAAAAGAGAGGTAGAGATTGTGTTCAGTATTTGAATGGTGTTAGTAATGAGACTCACGAGAATTACAGGCGCTTTGTATCGCATTTTTATCAACGTTTCAATGTCTTGACAGACAAACACTTTTTACTCTCCGTTAGGATTAATCTTAATATGTTTTCCTTAAGAACACAATACGAGTCGAAACAAAAGGCAACAAAAATTGTTGTTAAATGTTATCCAAACACTGTATTACACTTTACTATATATGAAACACAAATATTTTATGCTTTTATATTAGAGTTAGTTTAGTTTACAGACAATAAACTGTATATAACATGAAAACCATATTTTATTTTAAAATCCGGAACACAAAGAATGGGGCGAACAATGAGTTTATAAGAGAAAAGGAGTTGAGACAAGAAAATAGAGTCTAAAAGTATAAGAGAGAGAGGGAGAGAGAAAGGGAGAGATAGAGAGCAAAAAGAGAGAGCAAACATTAATTTTGATTATGAAAAGAGTTTCAGTTTCATAAAACATATCGGTATGTCATAGGGATGTCATATTATGAACGCAATTGTGAACAAATCAAATGCCTCTTAAGTGAAATCGTGTGGAAAGCGAACAAATTCTTGTGTAAACAATACTGAAAACCCATACGAAAAGCATAGCCAACACAACTCATAGCCAAACCTCATACACATCTCATACATAACTCACTCATTCAATAAAGTGAAACATATCGTTGACTTCAAGCCTCAAAGAACTCTAAACTAGTCGTTGGATGTGTTGATCATTCAATGGACTACAACTTTGTGCCCTTCCCTTCAATCACGGCTATTATTTGGTGCGGTTTTCACTCCTTTTTATTATGTGATAGGATTTAGTGACCAATACTTTTGAAGTAAATGCTATTTTCTAGCGATTTGTACGACAAGTGATTGCATTCACTGATTGTTTGATTCATTTTTGCCAAAATAAATGACAGAAACGACTGGAAAAGGACAAACACATTGACGATTGGCTCCGATAAGTGTCTGACTTATCACTTATTGCTTTCAAAGTATTTCTAAACCAAAATAATACCGATTTATTTGCAGAGAATAGTATTCAGTAAAGTGTATCTCAATTTATTTGTATTTTTATCATCAATTGTTAGCTTAAGTTTTGAAAGTTATTGCAAATTAAGTGCCAAACAAAAAGGATCGAGAGTTAAGTTTGAATTTAAGTTGAAAACACAAATTTGTGTATAAAATTGAGAGAAAGAGCGGTCACTCACTCGCGCGGCTCACTTTGAAGGGGTCGTCGGTGTCGACCACATCCACCACTGCCTCCACTTTGAATCTGGCGTTGGATTCGTTGGAGTTATGCAAATGTATGGCATATTTGAATGCCGTCTGAATCTCTTCATTAGAAGCGGTGAAAATAGCGCCTGAAATACATTTCAAAAACCAATTATTGTCTCAAATTATCGTATATTTTCAAAGCTATTTATATTTGTAATAGTTTTTGGTTTAATTAGTTTACACCATCATAACATTTATGTATTATATTAATTTACATTAAAATTTTTAACATTCAATTTATTTCCTAAATGACATTCTTTAAACATTATGTATAATATGAATAAAACATTTGATACAATAATTTGTTTTTATGGTAATATTTTTCATTTTATTCTTGTATTCCTTATCTTTAAATGAATAAATGAATTAAAATATAAATTTCTGCGTTTAGTTCACTAAATGATAATTAGATTTATTGATTTCATGCGACAAACAATTGTTTTTGGGCTAAATGTCTGACTTTATGGAGAATTTATAGAAAAATCTATTTAAATGCATTGAAAACTATGAATTGTTAATTTATAATAATGTCTAGAATTAAGTTAAGCATTATTTAATACAACTACAGTATATTTGTTTTTATTTTCATTAATTCCTATGAATGAAAGATTTTTGTACAAAACAAATGAATAACAATTGTTATTATAAACACACATTTATAAATGACAATGTTTTGCATTAACCAAAAGTTACATTGAATACTCTCTCTCTCTCTCTCTCTCTCTCTCTCTCTCTCT